AAAAAAAAAAACCCAAAGAAAAACAACCCCAACACAAAAAAGCAACAACCAGGAGCCAAGTTTGATGAGAAACATACAGTACGGTCATCATGCCGACAGCAGGCACATGCAAAGTAGAAGGACATGGCGCTTTCATATATAATTTGAAGTTGGGAAGTGAGGTGACCCACAGATATCCTAATACACAATGGTTGAGAGATCTGTGTACGTATACAATAAAAGATGTCCTCATGCCGTCAGCAGGCACATGCATGTTGGAGGGACAGGGCACTTTTTTATAATTTGAAGTTGAGAAGTGTGAGGACGTGTATATATAATATGTATTATGACGCCAGGAACGTGCGTTTAACGATATTGTGTTGTGCTATGGATGAAGGCACGAGGAGCATGATGGATTGAAGAAGTAGAATCTGTTGTGATAACTCCTCAGTGTACCAGATGATAAGGTAAGATTTTGGGACCAGAAACGAGGTGTAGCGTTCCAAGGAATATAAGGCAGCATAGACATTAATTATAATTATAATTTGCTTCCAGGCACAATCGTAGCACCAGCAACAGAGTACGATCAGGAATATGAATTGACAAACCTGCCGCAACAGCTAAAACATAATTGAATAAATGTGTTATTCACTTTGGAAGGGGGGGGGGGTTGAAGGGTGCTTAAAACTTCAACCAAGTTTATACAGAATTAATATTACTATTTGATGGATCACCGGTGTGTGAGTAGGAACCGTGTGTAAGGGTAGATTCTGAAGAGTGTTTTTGTATATGAGGTAATGTCTTCCTAAACAAAATTAATCTATTAGGTAAGTGGAATATTTAATATACTCTCCTGATTTTTTATAAAGAGACTTGGAAAGAGATTAGGAAAAAATTGATTTTCCTAGAAAGTAGATTAACATTAATAGGAAGGTAAAATAACACGCACTCATCAAAGCAACCAACAATTTACAGCTGTGACGAAATTACGAAAGGTAGCAAGAACAAAGAAGAACAGGGCTGACTTCATTACAAACTAATCTTTAAAACGCAATGGACAAAACCTCTTCGTGACTTTATAAAAAAAACCATACATAATATACATTATAACTTGTCCAAAACAAACACCTACAGTCAAAGAAAAAGTGGCCACCTTAGTCAGGCGGTCCTCTTGGACAGTCATTATAGAATAGTAGAAAGGCAAGGGGGAGGGGTGGGGAAAGTGGTCGTTAGTACAGATGATTATCTTGAACTGTTAGCTTTTTAAATTGCATTCTACACTTTATTGGTGAACACTTTGCCAGGCTCACTGTGCGACTGGATTTCTAATATAATTTCTTAAAATACATATATGCATCTCGTATATACATAGATCTAATATTATGTTTTACGTATGCACATGTCCACTTATTTTTAAAATGTGATATCTTTAAGGATATAATGCGCATTGGGCTTTTTTAGAAAGTGGACATGCGTTGCATAAATGCTGTTTATCATTGTTATTGTTGTTATATTATTATTATTATTATTATTATTATTATTATTATTATTATTATTATTATTATTATTATTGTGATCGCTAGAGCAGGTTTGATTGCACATTAGTTCACATTCTCCTTACCTCCTGGGACACATGAAGATAAAGAGGTGGATGATGAGCCTGAGGCTGAGGTTGAGGGTGGGGAAGATGTAGAAGGCGATGATGGGAATGGTTAGGACCAACAGGATGGCCAGATAGGGCACGAAGAGGAGGAAACCCAGCACTCCGAACACCTGGAAGGGCAACAGCACCAGGCGCGTGATCCACCCCAGGACCATAAGTCTGCGGAGGAAAAGTACATGACATCATGGGGAAATCAGGCGCTCGTCAAAATAATGAGATCGAGGAAACCAACATTTTCCAGCTCTATGGCAATTTTAATTAATTAATTAATTTATTTGCTTTTTATTCATTCATTCATTCATTCATTCATTCATTCTTTCATTTATTGATTGATTGATTGATTGATTGATTGATTGATTGATTGATTGATTGATTGATTGATTGATTGATTGATTGATTGATTGATTGATTGATTGC